AGGTTCTCTCCACTCGCTAAGTGTTTTCACTCAGTAGATATTCACTCGTGTTTCACTCTAAATTGGCTTTTGTGTAAGGATTTCTCTCTTGCCTTTTTCCCCTCAAATGCTCTCAAGAGTTCTTAAGGAAGTCAACCTCCAATCCACATAATTAACCAAAACCAAGAGACAATCAATCAATGAGACTCAAGTGAAGCCAACAAAAGAAAACTCTAAGACAAAACTAAGGAAGCCAACAAGACAATAGAAAAAAAAAAGACTAAATAAGAAATAAGCACACTCAAAAATAGATTGCAAATAAGACAAAATTTGATAATTTAAAGAAGATTATATAACGTTAAACAACTACTATTTTTTTTTTTTGGTATGGAATCAAGCAAAATAAGTGAAAGATTGGAAGAAATATATCAAAAACACACTTTTGTATGTTGCAATTTTTTTTTTGTAGTATATTTTTTTTTCTCTTTTTTTTTCCGATGAGCAACGTGCGATGAACAATACTTTTCAATCCAATTCTAACCAGGCTCTGATACCAATTGATGACAACCACAAACCGTGTCGCCGAATTAAACAATCTTGAATTGGATTTCACACAATAAAAACAAAATTATTACGGCACAAATAAGAAGAAAATTAATAAAAAGTAAAAATAGAATAGAGATGGAAAATGGCGCCACAATCGCAAGATTGATAAGCCAAGGAACGATCGCCACAAGAGTTTTGGCCTCTTGATAAGATCAAAGAAAATTGGCTCACTCAAGAACCTAGAGTCACACGCTCTCACAAGAGTGTTCAATCTCAAATTATATTCGAAAAACTAATTAAAAGTGTGTTTACAAGAGCTTATATATGCCTAATGCTTGTAAACTAATACTAACGCAAACCCTAATGGGCTTCTTGTACCAACAAGCCTAAATTCAAATAGACTAAATAAAATAACAAGATTTTATCCTAAATAAAAACTCAAAATAAGTAATGACTAATATTAAAATAAATAAACTAAACATAATAATTAAATCCTAATAAAACTCGTTAGAGTTCAAATCCTCTAAGCATATGTAATTGATTATCTTGGGCTTTTCTAACTCTAAATTGAGCTCCCTTTCAAATAAGACAACAACAATCTTTTCTAAGTCTTCATTGATTCTTTTTGCCCTTGCCCTTGTCATTGGTCCTTGAAGCTCTTCCAATGCCTTCAAGTCTTTGTCTTCAATGGGCCTTCCTTAATTCTCATCAACTATGAATGGTTCAACGATACACTGGAGGTATGGAAGATGAAGGCATTAGAAATACCTTGGGGAAGAGAGAGTAGTGGTGACACCAACAGTGAGTGTGGTTGCACCACACATTGTCCTCCTGACTAGACCTCTGACTTCTACCTTTACTGAGTGACCTATGACTGTCCACACGGTATTCGTGAGGCGGGGTAACTAGCGACCATTCATGGTGTGAAAATGTGATTACAGTGCCACAATGAGCGTGGCTAGGTGCGATAAGCGCACATGTGCGAAATGTTGGTGCAGTGAGTGCACCTGTCATGTTTTGAATTGGAATAGATGATAAATGATGATTGTGATTGAGATGTTTGTATTGTGGATGCGTGATTTAAAATATGTTAATAAATGTATAGTATTTGAGGTGAGTCTCTACGTTTATGTGTGTTGGATAATGTAGAGTACTCACCCTTATATTTATTTTTCAGGTGATCAAGACAATCAGCAGCAGACTCAGTGAAGGAAGGATGAACTGCTATAGGACTTAGATTGTATTTTGAAATTATGATGTAATTGAATTAGTCCTGTAGCAGTCTTTGATATAAATTTGTAATCCTTTATTATTTTGAACTGTTTTATGAAACTCTATAATAAGATCTTTTTATTTAAATGAAAATTTTATTACTCCTATTTTGTGCAATTATTACTTGGAAATTAATTTAAGGTGTTACATGTGGAATGGTTGGAAACTATGAATGGTTCAGCGATATACTAGGGGTGTGACAGATGAGGGCGATAGAAATACCTTGAGAAAGAGATGGTGGTGGAGACACCAACAGTGAGTGTGGGTACACTACAGGCCACACACTCTCCTCTTGACTTAGCCTTTGACTAACACATTTGCCTAGGGACTCAGTACCGTACACGTTGTATACGTGGAGCGGGAGCTATCCGACGACCATCCATAGTGTAAAACTGAATAAGTCCCTGAGGTATAAGGCATCAAGAATTTGTGATCACAATGACACAGTGAGCATGACTATGTGCAGTGAGAGCACGTGTGTGTGAATTGTTTGTTGGTGCAGTGAGCGCACCTGTTTGTGAATTGAAATGGAAAAGTATTATTGTGTTTGTTGATACTTGATTTGGATTATGTTAGAAATGTGTGAAATGTGCAAGGTGACGAAGAAGATCAGTATCGGGCTCAGTAAAGGGATAGATGAAACTGTTATAGGATTTAGAACAATTGTTTGAAATTCTAATGTATTTAAACTAGTTATGTAGCAATCATTTAATATAAATTTGTAACTCATCCTTATTTTGAAATACTTTATTGAACTATGTATTAGAAACCGTTTGAATGAAAAAACTTTTATTATTCCCATTTTTGTGAAATTTATTTATTTAGAAATTAAATTAAGGTGTTACACAAGTCACACTTGAAATATATATTATGATTAACATTGCAATTATTAAAACTTATATCATAATTTTAGACAATAAATAAGATATACCTTAATAAAAAAATTAATAATTAAGAATATGAGTAAAATAAGTGAACAAAAATAAATAAAATAAAATATCTTATATTCCATTATATTTTATCATTATTTTGTCAATTTAAATAATAAAAATCTATACTATTACATTTGATTCTTTATTCCATATTGATATAACATATTTTAGGTTTATATTTATTATTTTATTTTGATTAATAAAATTTTTTCATATGCTTTATTTTTAGATTTTTTATCATCTTCTAGTTATTTGAATAAATTGGACTTATTACAAATAAATATTTTAATTTTGTATTTTCGGTTATTCTAACCTCTGACTACTCTTTTAGTCATAACTTTGTCTACATATATCATTTTTGGCTGATTCAAGTTGCATTATATTCTACACATCCAAGGCTTCAAAATGCATATATGGATAAATGGATTTGAAGTTATTTTCAATTTTTTATGATTTCTTAAAGTTGAGTTAGATTTGTTAAATATTGTTGCGGGATTGCATTTGGACTCTTATTATTTTATAATTGTATTTGAGCTTTTAGATATTATTGAGGCGCAAATTTTGACCACTTAATTCACCCTAATCAGAACCTATAAATAAACTAGTAAGGTTCTAAATTAAAGGAGAGATTAGACACTTTGAGCTTTTGAGATTTGACTGAAATAAGAACCCTCGTTTTTACTTTTTCTTGAATTCTCTCATTCTCTTCTCATTCTTATGTGGGTTAAGTGCTTCGATAGAAGGCTAAACCTTTTATTCAATCCACAGAACCCAAACACTGTAATTCTGATTTGAGTTCTGGGTTAAATTGGTCTGAGTTTGTTCTCTTTTTCTCTAACCTCAAATTTGTATATTGTGATTTCTATCGTTAGAATTCAAATTAGGATTGAATTGATATTCTAATTTGATAATTAATTCAAGGTTAGGTTAAATGATAGTTAAATGATAATTTGATTTAATCTGTGATCTAGTTCAATTAGGTTATTCAATTAAATTAATGATTGAATTTGGTAAATATTCAAACTTAGATTAAAATCTTTAGATATTGTACTAATTAGAATTAAACACATTTTGTATTTCTTCATTTATTTTCTTCCAAATTTATTCTGTTCGTAGTTCAATTTAGTATTTTGCAGATTTTAAAACTACCAAAAGTTTACTCTTGTTCTTTAAAAGAAAACCTAAAATTGAAATTACCTGAAAATGTGTTCCTGTGAATCGACCTAGGTTTAACTTTATACTACAAAATCTTTAGAAAACTTAGTTATTTTAATAGTAACTCGGCATTGTCTATCACATATTCTAAAATTCCAAAAGTTACGTCTAATTTTAATCTTTTTAAAACTTATTATTAAAACTGCATGACATCTTATTTTCAAATAAATTTAACTTATGTATCAATATATGTGATAAATATTTAAAGATAATGTTTTTTACAATATTTAAAAAGATTAAAATTGTGTAGAATAAATAAATTGCTGCTTTTGAAGTTTACATGAATAAAAATAAATTACTTTAAAATTATTTATATTTTATTGGTTAATATAAATATTAAAATAGTTAATTTAAAATTTAATTTAGTAATATTAATGTCATTTTAATATTTAACTTGGATCTATATCAAATACTATATAAATTAAAAAATATGTATGTTATATTTGTATAGGGTGTTTAACATAGATTAGAGAAGTGTTAAAGTAGACGAGTTTGATAAGTCAACTCACCTAATTTATTAAAAATAGTGAGTTAAGCTGAATGTTTGCACTTGCATCCCGTTTTAGTATGTTAAAATATGAGTTAATGGCAAGTTGGGGTAGATTGGCCTGCTAGACCCATTTTTAATTTTTACAAAATAAAAGAATTTATTTATTAATTAAATATTACGCTTTTTATTAATATAAAAATAGTTTAAAATATTTTTATAAATTATTCATTAATTTTTGTAATTTATTTTTATTTTTGTGTTAATTTTAAGTTAATTAATCTATTAACTTAATAATTTATTGAATGATTCTAAAATATTAACTTGATGGTTCACTCTTAAATGGGTTAAGTTAAAAAATTTAATTCATTTTTTAAAAAGAGAAAAATAGGTAAAATGTTAAAATAACATTAATCATTTAATAAATTCATATTTAAAAACATTTTTTTTATAAATCACTTTTAATACATTTTATTCAAATAAAAACTATATTATATTTACTTTTATAAAAATCAATTTTTACTAAACTTCATCCAAAAATATTATTTTGTATTGACTAAAAAAAAGGCATGACATGATAGAACCCCAAGGCGGGGGTCAAGGCGTTTAGGTGTCCGTCGTGGGACAGAACAGATGTTGCATTCCCTCTCTTCCCACAGATTTCTTATATTCATGGCATCCAAACCTCAACGCGTCCATCAAAGTAACTCTCTCTCTCTCTCTCTCTCTCCTCGTTGTATTGTCGTCAATTATCTTCCATAAACGACGATATTGATGCGCATATTTTCCCTTACGGGTTTTTCTTGACAGTTGCAGAGTCCAATTTTCAGAGCGCCGCAAAGAGGGGAAGAACCATGGCCTCGGCTACAGCCCCAGCCACTGAACCCGCAATGAAAGACGCTTTTACTCAATATGCCGGATATCTCAATGACCTTGTAATGCTTTTCATTTCTATCACACACCCCATTAAAATTCTCCTTTTTATAATTCAAATTTCCAGGCTTTTTAAATTACATTGCAACTTTGCAAGACTGTGTAGAACTGACTCAAGGGCTTTTCCTTTGAAGTCCAAATATTTACCTTTTACTTTCTTTTCTGTCTTTCATGGGGTGCTGGTGTACAGAGCTTTATGCCTATGAGTTAATTTCTGATTCTTGTTTTAAGGATGCCACATTCACTGCGGTGTATTATTGGAGTCAATAGGATATGCTTGGATTGAGGGGTTTGGAGGGAAAGGAACTGGAAGGTTATTTTTTTATTTATATTTTTACAATTAGATAACTATAAAATGCTTAGACCAAACGACTAAATTATGCTTGGAAGGTTAGATGATATTCTCTCAGTTATTTTCTTTCACTCAGGAGAATATTTACTTGAAGGTTAACTGTTGCTTATTGTATTAGGCACGGGAATATTAAAGTGGAGAGTTGATAGACAGTTAGTATCTTTTTAGAAATCAAATGGGGAAAAACCTTTATAATTCAAAGAACAGAATACACACACTGCTGAACATCGAGGATCTGCACCTCCCAATGCCAAAAGCCTTTAATTTCCTTTCACAAATCACATGATATTCCTCTCTAATCTCCCCTCTTGTTTATACGAAGCATACCTTATTCAAACTAAGTCACGTAACTAAGCTCACCAATGTGTAACTAAGTACTTATTTTTACTAACTAGGAAAGGGGGTCATCTAACATTACTCACCTGGTCCTCATGGTGAATAACTATGGCAGCTGCAAAAAAAAGTTGTATTGGGGTTCCGTTTGTTTGAAGCATTATGATTTAGCCAACCCCACTACTGCAGCCGCAAGGTAACCTCAACCTCTCTTGGGTCCAACATAGACAAGTGGCTACACTTAATTTCCTTCAGTGCTTTGTTTTCTTTTATATTTTTAGCATTGAAACAGATCATCATTGGCTTTTGCAAGTGTATTGAGAACCCTAGGTTTTCTAGCCAAATCATGCTTCATTATCATCCTTTCTTTATTATTCAAATGATGCTGCATGGGTTTCTCTATCTGACCACTCAAAAAGATGGTCTCCTTCCATAGAAGCAAGCTTGCTGTTAGACCTCACAACACCCAATTGGCTCTCTATCTCAACTACTTGTCCCAATCCATTGAGCTCCTCCATTTTTGGTTGTTAAAATGTGGACTTGTTCCCTTTGAATTCCCTCCTCTTTGTTTGTATTCATTTCCAAGATTTCTGGTCCCCATGATTTTTGTTCATTATCTTGGATAATTGGAAATTTTTTGCAATTGTTTTTGGTCTCCAAGCTGCATAGTTCATTTTCTATGCTTAGATACCAATTGATAGAAATTGGTACCCAATGTTGTCAAGATTGGGATCTTGATCGTGAGATTGCATGATCCTGCGATCTTTCTCCCCCTCCATTTGGATTGAATAGAAGATTGGACTCAACTTAAGATTGTTTGGGATCGTGATCATTTCTGGTAAGATCGTGTGATCTGTGATCTGATCTGATCCCGGTGTTTGGGTCGAATATAAGGACCTTATTTAAAAATACTCATTTCTCATTAGTTTTATTGACCTTCTTACACGTTTAGGACCCTATCTCATGCGCGGGGACCACTTCCTTTCTCTTCTTCGTCTTTGTGCTTATGCATGAGTGACATCTTTGTTTTTGTGCTTCTATGTGAGTGGCTCTATGTTGGGTGGTTCTACGTGGCTGCGTGGTTGGTTCACATTCTCTAGGCATGCTTCTGCATGGGTGGTTAGCGGTTGTGTGTATTTTGTTTGTTGCTAAACTGTGGGCACTGCCAATGTTGTCAAGATCTAGGATTGGAAGAGGGTTAAAAGATCGTGAATCGTGGAATCCTAAAATAGATTGTAAGATTCTACCAAACATGTAAAACTATGTATGCATGTATGCAAACCATCCATGCCCAGAGAGGAGAGAGCCCAAAACCACCCGGAAGCACCAAGACAAAGAATACGTCACTCACGCAAAAGCTCAAAGACGAAGAAGAAGAAGGATGTTAGAGACCAACGTGCATTTGGGCCTAATGAGTTGCTAGTGCAAGATAGTGGACCTGGCCCAAAACAGTGGGTAGTTTATGTGAGAAAGAAAAAGAGAGGCACGGGATATGTGGGTGGAATAGAGGGTGAGCTGGCTAGTTAGTTATGCCAAAAGAGAGAGAATCATTTGTTATATGGGGAAATGATTTGTTTAGAGGGGTATCTTTTGCAGTTAGCCAATTTGTAAGAATGGAGAGCCTCTAAGGTTCTTCAACGGAGCCAGGCTCTGAGGGTAGGGAGAGAGTCTCTCCTTGCATTTCTTCTTGTTTCAGTAATTAAATAAAATCTTCCCATATTTTTCTTTCATTTGCTGCTGCTGTTCTGTGTTTTCTATTCTGATTTTTAACAAAGGAAGTGGTTGTTGCACATGAGATAGGCTTCCAAAAGTGTTAGCGGGTCAAAAAACTAAGGGTAAATGGGTATTTTAAAACTGGGTCGTTATATCCGACCCAAATACCAGGATCGGATCAAATTGAATTGCTGATCACACGATCTTGCTGGAAAAGATCCCAATCCCTAACGATCCCAAGTGACTCCGATCTTTTGTGCGATCCAGATTGTTGAGGGGGAGAAAGATCGAAGGATCGTGCGATTCATGATCAAGATCCCAATCTTGACAACACTGGGCACTGCTAGTGGGTACTTTGTGCTCTGCTGCTGTTTCAGTTTGTGGGTCTTCGTTTGTCTTCTGTTTTTTGTTCTCTCATCTCTCATTTGTGACTTTTAATTTTATGTTTAATTAAATTATATGATTTAGATGTTAATTTTTTTATGTATGTTATGTTCTATGCTTATATATATGTTTAAGTATAACTTTACATGTTTGGTAGGATCTTACGATCTATCTTACGATCCCATGATTTATGATCTTTTACCCTCTCCTCCTGATCCTAGGTAAGATCCTAATCTTGACAATGTTGTTGGTATCAATGATAAGAAAAGTGAATCTTTATTAAGGGAAAAAATCAATTCCAGCCCCACTCCTGATGTGCAAGCATCAGGAAAAAGATACAACAATAACTCCCTTGGATATTTGAGAGTCTAGGGAACTCTCCCACAACTGATGTATGAAACTTGGCCTGATGTGCAAGCAAGGAATGCAAGTGGAGTTTTTTGGAAAAACAAATTGACTCTTATAGTAAAGCCTCCTTTGGTGCAAGGTATAACCCTTATGTGAACTGAGATCTGCTATTAAATCTTTGCATAACTGCTGCAATCTGGAATCTCTTTGAATTTTACTCTCCAATTTGTCCCACTCATCAAAGCTAAAAGTGGAGATAGCTGAATATATCATTTCTCTGGATAAGGCATATCCCACCTTGTTGTCACTTCTCGGTTTGAACTGAATTTCAAAATGGAAACCCGGTAATTTAGTTGTCCATTTATATTGGCATTTACCCATTAAACATTGTTCGGTTAGAAACTTGAGACTTCTTTGATCGCTTCGAATTACAAAGTGCCTGCCTATTAGATAGTGTCTCCACTTTAGAACTGCATATACAGTAGCCATAAGTTCCCTCTCATAGATCGACTTTTGTTGAGCTCTTTCTAACAAGGAATGACTTAGAAAAGCTATAGGACGCCCCTCTTGTAACAGAATTGCACCTACCCTTTTCCCGGATGCATTAGTCTCCACCATAAATGGTTTGGTAAAGTGTGGAATGGCTAGGACAGGTAATGATGTCATGGCTGATCGTAATGACTCAAGAGCTTGTTGTGCTTCTAGTGACTAGTGAAAATTATCCTTCTGCAACAATTCTATGAGTGGTTTGACTCTCTTTCCATAATTGTGGAGAAACCTTCTATAATATCCTATGAATTCCAAAAAACCTCCTAATCCCTTTACATCCTTGGGATTAGGCCAGTCCACGCTTCAATTTTCTTTGAATCAACAACCACTCCATTTGCTGAAATGACATGGCCTAAATACTCTAACTGTTGCACCCGAAAACTTCATTTTTTTATTAGCCATCATATGGTAAATCTGCAGCAATTGGAAAACCTTTTGTAAAGGGTCAACATGACTTTCTTCATCCTTACTATAAATCAGTATGTCGTCCAAGAAACCAGCATAAACTTACTCAAAATAGCTTGTAGCACCACATTCCTTGAGGCTTGGAATGTATATGGTGCATTAGTAAGACCAAATGGCCTTCATGAGTTCTAAAAGCAGTTTTCTCAATGTCTTCCTCCTTCATCCTTATCCGGTGGTAGCTGCTGGATTTAAGGTCTAATTTAGAAAAAATGGCAGCTCTCGTCAATTCGTCTAGTAATTCATCAATAATTGGGATTGAGAATTTATCAGGAACAGTATACTTATTTAGAGCTCGGTAATCCATACAAAATTGCTAACTACTATCTTTTTCTTAACTAAAATAATGGGACTTGAATAGGGACTCGCACTTGGTTGGATGAGACCAGCTTGTAACATCTCTGCCACCAATTTCTCTATTTCAGCCTTTTGATAATGTCCATCTATAAGGTCTCAGATGTGGAATATTTGAGCCTTCCTCCAATGTTATGGAATGATCATGTAGCTTGGAGGGAGGTAATCCTTGGTGGTGTTGAAACACATCTTCAAAATGGTATAGAGCTGCCCTTAATGATTCTGGAATATTGCCTACATATGCTTCCCCACCTTCCTTTCTCTGCACTCAATTAGGAACCCCTGCCCATTTTCCTGTAATTCTCTCACCATAGATTTAATTGTTGCTGCTGATCTACAAAGGGCAGGATCACTTTTTATGGTATGTATCTTATCTTGGAGCTTAACCAGCAGAGTGAGCTCGCCAAAATTTGCTCTGATTTCCCCAAGTACTGCCAAACATTCCATACCAAGAACCAAATCTGCACCACCTAACTCAAAATTGTAAAAGTCTTGTTGAACTTGCAGATCTTGTATCTGTATAGGTAAACCTTTGCAATAACCCCAACTGCTCACCTCGTGGCCATGACTAACCTCTACCCAAAATTGAGGTGTTTGAATACTAGTAGATTAAGTTCTTTCACAACTTGTATGATATGAAGTTATGGGAAGCCCTGCAATCTACTAATGTCAACACTTATTTCCCTTGCATTGTTCCCCACAACTTGAGGGATCTTTTTGACATAAGACCAGTCATACTACTAAGATCCAGCTGAATAGATTTTACTCCCCATTCTGTACTATCTCTTTTCCCTCCCTCTTTTGTCACTTCCCCTGTT